ATACTGTAACAAGAGTCATTGGTTAATTTTTTCTTTAACAGTGTGGATGGATGGTGAGGGGTTAGCTGGGAGGGAGAATTGGAAGGGTGAACAGAGCTTTTCTCATTTAGGTTTTTTACAGTGATAGACTATAAAAAGTTTTACTTTCTGTTTACGTTTTTCAGATTTTCAAAAAAAAAACATTTTGAAGAGCTTAGCAAAAGAATGAGGATATGGGAAATCACATGGAAGTTAAGGGGTTTTTCAGGCTTCTTAAAGAAGTCATGAATGCAGATGCAACAGATGTGGGTTGAATTGATGTTAGTGATGGCAACAGCAAGATGACTGTAAAGCTAACTCTCATGAAGTACTCTGGCAGTAACCCTATGATACGCATTCTACACTTGTTTCATTTACAGATTAGAAGACTGAGTTTTGTTGAAACTGCCCAAAGTCTGACAGCTTATAATAGGAAGATCCTGAATTCAATGCTTGGAATAATAATAAGAGTTAATATGTGTTAAAGAATTGGAATATTAATATTAAGCATATTGCCAGTATTTGGCAAATCTTAGTTATGAATGAATACTAATTATTTTCTCAATAGTAAATGGATTAACACATGTATAGTTGTGGGGAGCAACTGGGAGCAACTCGGACTAGACTATGTTACTGGAATTAAGACTTATTCTATGCATCTGCTCTCCCACAATATGGCGCTGGGAGAGGAGGAAACAGCTTCTACACAGCTGCCTCCAGTTCAACCAATAAACTGTAGGACCTTCTCCTGATTGGAGGAGAGCAGCGTACTTGGCGTGTGGGTAGCAGAGTTGGGATTGGTGGAAGAGGACTATAAAGGAGGAGAGAGACAACATGCACCAGGAACATCTACTTGAAGGAACACCTGTGCAGCCCCCGAGAGAGCCGGCCGGCAGTGTGCCGCTCCCCTGCAGAAGTGGGGAAAGTGGCAGGGGGAACCGCCCTTCCACGGAGGTGGAAGGGACGGTAGCCAACCTGGGAAGAACCAGCAGCAAACCCGGGAAGGGCCGAGCAGACAAAAGAACAGCACAGGGTCCTGTGTCGTTCCTCCACGAAGAGGGGGAGCGACATAATGGTGCCGTGACTCGGATATGAAGCCTAGGCAGGGTCTAATGTTGTTCCTCCACGAAGAGGGGGAGCGACATAATGGTGCCGAAACCCGGGAAGAACCAGCAGCAAACCCGGGGAGGGCCGAGCAGACGAAAGAACAACGCAGGGTCTAGTGTCGCTCCTCCACGAAGAGGGGGAGTGACATAATGGTGCCGTGACTCGGATAGGAAGCCTAGGCAGGGTTTAGTGTCGTTCCTCCACAAAGACGGGGAGCGACATATAGTCATTGAAATAATACTTTGTATATAGCAAGAAATTAATAATTCTTAGTCATAACATGGTAATTATAATTTAATAGTAATTATTACCTTCTGAATGTTATATTTTTGTACTATTACTATTCTTACTACTACCTGGAGAGGAATACAAAAGAACTCTGATTAGCTAAGCTTTGAAGAGTCACAGAGTGGCTGACTGTTAACTTTCTCACATACATGTTATCAAATGCTGGTGCTGGTGAGGGGGCTACAGACTGCAAGGAATGTGTGGAGTTGGCCTCTCATGTCCTGTGACTCCCTCCTGACTGTCTGCCTGGACAGGGCCACCAAACAGCTTCCAGAATCATTCCTGGTGTCTCACTCCTGCCCTACAACAGCTCTTCCTCTCCTGGGACATGCTGCTAGCTCCTAGGAGTGCTGGTTGCAACGAATGGGAAGCTTCATAATCCACATCACCCTCATCCCTGGGGAGAAAGGTGGCTACACTTTCTCCTGCTGATTTATCAGATTTTCTAGAAGATTCCTTATCCTGTAAGGACTCAGCGCTTGATTTGGATGAAGGAAGGATTCTGCCTGCATCAGTCATGTCACTGGCCTCTTTTTGCAGAAATACGAACAGCATAGTCAGAATAGGGATGCACACTCTGCTAGGAATTCTAGGCAACAAGGGAAGATCCTCATGTTTAAGCCTGTTCTGCTTTGGGTGTTATCATTTATTAAAGGCTTGGTACACTCAGATAAGTCCAAGGGACTTCAACAACACTTTTTACAGCATCATCATATCACCTTCAATGTTCACTTGAAAAGATAAATAAATAAAACATTCAGAAATAGAGCATTGCCTGGAAGTTGAAGCATTATTTCAATATTCTAAAAGACATGTTATCTTAGTAGCATCTTGTGTTATAAATGTACAATGAAGCAATGATCTGGTCAAGCCAGGTCTATTAAATATGAATATTGCTTAGCTGATTCAAACAAACAAGTGAAAAACCCACTCACTGATGCATCAAGGTTTTTGATAACCATATGAACTCTGACTCTTCCCCCAGCTGTATAATCATAGGCAAGGTCATTCACCTCAACAAGCCTCAAATGATCTTTCTGTAAAATGGGAATAATAACACCGTCATTGCAGAGTTGTTGGGATTACATTCAGTAGGGATTCAATTCAATAGGTCTGAAATACCTACCAAAACCTTGGCAGGTGAAAGGCAAATAGCAATCAATAAACTTAACAATGACAATGGTGGTGTTAAAAAAAAACTGACATTTGGTGTCTCTGGACCATGATTTTTTCATCTATAAATCTGGATAGGAGCAGATTTCCAAGAGCACTTATGGTTCTAATATATCCTCAGGAAATTCGTGTTTGCTTTCATGGCCTGACAGCCCCTCTCTTTTCCTTTCTATGGATCGTGAGTGGCCAAGGTCCAAGGCAGTGCTTCTGGACGCCAGAGCAGGGGAGCTGCAGTTCCTCCACACTCCCTGGGTCACCCCGTGTCCCTGGTAGCATGTGTTCATCTTAGAGTCTCTGCGATTGTTATCACTTCGTGTTGTTGATGAGCCACCTTAGTATTACTGAGCAGTTTTCCAAACTTGCTTCTTTATAATTCCAGCACAAGGATAAGCAAACTTTATATGTAAAGAGCCAGCTATTAGAAACATCAGGTGTTTTGGCCTAAGCAGTCTCAGTGGCAACTATTATTTAAAAAATTTTATTTAAGATGAATAAACTTCATGTATTTCCTATATACAGATTTAGGAACATAGTGATACTTCTCACCTTACCCTCCCTCCCACACACACTCCTATCCTTTCTCCTCCTTCCTCTCTTATTCTCTGTCTTAATTTCTATAATCATCTACTTTCAGTTCACTTTATACTCTAAGATTAACCCTACACTAAGTAAAGAGTTCAACAAATAGTATGAAGAAAAAAAGTGTTCCTCAAAGCAGCCACAGGCAGGACAGAAACAGAAATGACTCTGTTGCGACACCTTTATCAATGGGGACTTAGCTGAGCATTTCGTATAAATCTCATGAGTCATGGGATAGTCTTCTTTCTCTGATTTTTTTTTTTGACAGGCAGAGTGGACAGTGAGAGAGAGAGACAGAGAGAAAGGTCTTCCTTTGCCGTTGGTTCACCCTCCAATGGCTGCCACAGCCGGCACGCTGCAGCTGGCGCACCACGCCTATCTGAAGGCAGGAGCCAGGTGCTTCTCCTGGTCTCCCATGGGGTGCAGGGCCCAAGGACTTGGGCCATCCTCCACTGCACTCCCTGGCCACAGCAGAGAGCTGGCCTGGAAGAGGGGCAACTGGGACAGAATCCGGTGCCCCGACCGGGACTAGAACCCGGTTTGCCGGCACTGCAAGGTGGAGGATTAGCCTACTGAGCCACGGCGCCGGCCTCTTTCTCTGATTTTTTAAAATTATTTATTTTATTTTTTTGAAGGGCAGAGAGAGACAGAGAGTGATCTCCCATCCCCTGGTTCATTCCCAAACAATTGGGACTGGGTCAGAGCTGAAGCCAGGAGCCCAAAACCCAATGCAGGTATCCCACAGTGGCAGGGACCTAAGTATCTGAGTCACGACCTGCTGCCTCCTATGGTGTCCATTAGCAGGAAGCTGGAACTGGGACTTGAACTCAGGCACTTCAATATGGGATGTGGGGATCCCAAGCAGCATCTTAACTACTGTGCCAAATGCCTCCCCTTGCTTTTTTTTTTTTTTTTAATCATTGCAATGGACTGAATGTTTATGTCCTCCCAGCATCCCTGTATTAATATCCTAACCCCAATGTCATGATGGCATTAGGAGGTGCAACTTTGGGGAGATGATTAGGTCCTAAGTGTAGAACCTTAATGATTAGGATTGGTGCCTGCCCCTGTTTGATTATTGGTATCTCCTGAGGGCAGTGGTGCTGGCTGGGAAGTGGGCCATCTGGTAGGTAAGTACTCACAAACAGGATTATTGTCCTTATAAGAAAGGCTTGGGGAAGCTTGTTTGTGCCTTCCATCAGGTGAAGGGACCACTTATGAAGAATAGGCCCTTATTAGACACCAAATATCCTAGCGCTGTGATTTTGGATCTTCCACCCTCTAGAGTTATAAGTAATACATTTCTGTTGTTTACAAATTACCCATGCAAGGGAATTTTATTATAGCAGCTGGAATAAACAAAACCAATGTCTATGAAAGAGATCTCTGACAGTTCCCCTTACTCTCTTTCCACCATGTGACGATACAAGGAGAATTTGTGCACATGCAGTGTGGCAGAGGACCCACACCAGAACCCAGCCATGCTGGCACCCTGGTCTCGGTTTCTACCCTCCAAAACTGTGCCAAGTGTGCAGTACTTTGCTACAGCTGCCTGAGCTAAGAGGGACATGCAAAAACATAAAGCCGATTCTTAACTTGCAGCTCATACAGAGCAGGTGGTGGATCAACATTGACCCAAGGACCATTGTTTGCTGACTCCTGCTTTAGAGGAAGCCCCGAAAAAGAGTTTTGCATCCCTTTCTCAATGTCTTTATGGAGAGCTCTTTGATCAGTCCGTGCCACTCTTGGTGGTGGTAGCGGAGCACTCCTGTATCCTCTGGGGACCGCAAGTCTTTCTCCACCCCACTACGATGAAGTAGAACAGGCCCGCTTACCACATGATCATGATCACTAACTTCATGACGATCTCATTCAAAATGTTGAAGAATTCCACCATCAGCTTGGCCTGTTCTCCCATCTTCCCCATGGCAATGCCAAAAGCAATGAAAAACCCTATCAGACCTGTAGGGTGAATCACATAACACAGAAGGACAAATTATAAAGTGTGTTTCTTCTCCCTCATTCTTTACCACTCCCAATGTATGGATCCACGTTCTCACCACCAGCTACCCTAGGGAGTAGGCGTTAAAAGACCAAAGCAGTCCACTTCACACTGAACATACCTCTCCACCCTGGATAATTATGACTTTCCTGAACATTTCTTTTTTTCACACAAGCAAGTTAAACTGTAAGCAGTGTTATTTCCTTGAAGAAAATAAACTCATTTTCATTCCAAACTAAAAGGTGCTCTCATCTCTCCCCTCACTTGAGTAATCATAAGAAATCATGCGTAAGCAGGTTCCATTATTACTGAGATTAATGAGGAAAGACTTGTAGGGACTGGTAGATTATCATACAAATTTTGGAGTTAATATTGGGACAGCAGAGACCAATTAGAGAATAAAAACTTTGTTAGGGTTATGTCCAGATTATTTTTGTGTTAACCCAGATTAGTGCATGGCTGGTATATTTGACTCTTGGAGAACACTAAATGCAGATCTATCCCTATATACCTAAGAGGAGAAAAAATGTTGAGAAATCAAATGGGAAGCAGTAAGAAATCCATAGCACATGGATAACTCCAATTTATACAGTTTGTTTGAATGTATCCTATTATTAACAAATCCACCATAATTCTTTTCATAGAATGCTTTCTTTTTAATTAATTTACCTTTTAAGATCATAAAGCCAGAATAGATTCCCCAGTCAGATTCAGCTAATTCCTAGCCCCTCCATTTTACATCCCAACTTTTATCTCTAAGTTCATCCCCATGCTAGCCTCCAGGGGCAATCCTAACCCCAGGCAGGAATGGTTGGAGGAGCTCTTGACGTCAGCATCAAATTGCACTAGGTCCTGGGCCAAGTCCAATACTCAGCCTCGGGTCTTATTTCTGTGTTGGTTTTTGCCTCAAGCCCTGCATCTGAGGTCCTGGGAACCTGCCCTGTGCTTAAGTTCCTCCAAGGCTTAGCCTAGCTTTGCTCTACCCAGAAGATTGTCTCCTTCCTGTTCCCATAGTTTTTCCCACTCTCCCTCCTCCTTCAATATCTCAGCCTGACCCACTCAGGGGCTGGGACACACTACGTGGCTGGCACGTACCTCCGGCATTGCCTTGGAGGTGGGGGCATCTGGATTTCTGATTGCCAATTACCATGTGCTCCCTGACCCCTCAACCAAGATTGTCAGTCTTGGGGCCCTAATTCTGACTACCAGTGTATCCTAAAAATCAGCGTCGTTAAGCCTTGCTACGGGACTTTGCTTCCCCACCTGGCTTTCTCTCTGACTCTGATGAGCCACTGTCCCTTCCGTCTCCCTCCCTCCTCTTCCCCACACCTACCTTATCTCCGTTTGGCCTAATTTCTAGTCCTTCCCTATTATATCAAGTTTCCTCTTGTGTCCAGTTATACCTGGAGTCTTGACCAGTATCAGGTTAAATCATAGCATTATAATTTGATTCTCTTAGAAGGGACTCCTTTCTCTCTGAACTTCTGACTTGACCCTTTCATACTCACCTAAAGCATCAACCCCTGTATACCCCAGATAGTGTGACTGTCCTTGGCTGGATTCATTTACTGTTCAGCAAAAAGAATCCAGCGCTTGTACCTGACATTGTTAATACTTGGAATTTAATCCCTCTCTCTTTAGCTTCTGGCCAGAAAGACTGATGGGTGACTTCACAAGTGAGTTACTGGCTCTGGAGAGACAAGGGCTTAGCAAAGATTAGATTCAAGACAGGGTGGGCTGGCCCTGCAGTAATGGATGAAATCAATTTCAGGTTATTCCTCAGCCCTTCTCTCAAAACTATTAGAGAGAAGTGTTTTAGGTACAGGGCGAAAAACAATCAATCTGTGAACATTCTGGCTGAGGGTAGCTACTATTGCTTGGCTAATACCATCTGAACATTTTAAGAGAAAATGTGTAAAGAACTAGAATTAAAAAAACTCTTCAGAAACAGCAGAAACTGGCCATAGCTGAGGACACGAATAGATTGTGGGGGGAGCAGGTGGAGTTGATTTTAGCAGTTGGCATTAAGGCAGAGCTGAGAATTGGTTCTGGAAGTCTTTTAGGAGAGAAAGAGGCCCTTGAAGAGAGGGGAGGCCAGAAGCAGGGTTGTATCTCCTTTACTGCAGTGCTTAATCCATGGGACTTTCCAAAGCCAAAAAGCAGAAAGAGAAAAACAGCAGTAACAAAAAAAAAAAAAAAAAGCCACCATCTCCACCCTTGGAAGAACATGGAAAGAACCTTATTTCAGCCTTGATTGTCAAAAATGGGAAGTGTTTCAGCAGTCTAACTTCCCTTGGCTTTCCAGAGCCTCGACCTGCACTTGGATGGAAAGCTGCAACTTGTCATTTCCCTCTGTAAACACTGCCTAACTGAAATCATTCACTGGAATGGGGGGGGGGGGCAGGTTTCACTTGAACAAAGCCTTCTTAGACTGGGTCACTGGGGTTGTGTCGAAACTCCCCATGCAGCCAAAGGTCATGTGACTTCCCAGAATCCACCGAGACATTGGAAATGACCAGCAAAGTCTTCTAATGATTCACTCCAGGACCTTGGCCCCGTTGCACCATGGCCTTAACTTCCGCCTAAATGTGTAGAAAACTGGGGAGGCACTTCAACAAAGGGGGTGGGCTGGGGCTGTAGTACTACCTGCCAGACGGGACCAGGGGCGAGTTGGGAAAGACGTGGAAAGGTCATAGACTTCTGGGCATTGGGACAGACAGCTGCTCAGAGGTGAATCCTGAAGACTTACAAAACCTCTTCTAGAGGAACTCTCCCTCTTTCTTTTCCCTCCTTCCACCTCTCACCTCCAAGTGATTGTCAACAGTGTTTATTGATCTTCCATTGCCTGGCAACCAAGTCAGCTTATCTCCTCCCTCACTCTCACTGACCCAACCTGCTTTCTCCCAGGCCAAACAAAAAGATCCACTTCTGCTTCTCAGTACAATCACGCTCCCTCTGCCTCTTTCTCTCTTTCATTCTGGATGGATTAGAAGTAGGGTCACCAATTTAGAAGAGATAAACAGAATACTCAATTACCTCTGATTTTCAGCTAAATGGTGATTTTTTTTAATTTCAATTTTAGTATTAGTATGTTCCATGCAACACTTGAGATATAAGAGGATATTTCACAAAGTTCATGGATAATGTATATTTGTGAGAAAAATATGCATGAATTTCACAAAAATTTTTGCACCAAAACAAACATATCCTTTAACTCCATTTTTCCATGAGCTATTCGAAGTACCATCATACTTACATTAAAAATTATTTGGTATTTAGCTAAACTTTAAATTTAACTGGACATCCTACATTTTATCTGACAACCCAATCAAGGAGAAAAAGGAAGGGCCCCAGAACTCACCCAATTCTAAACAGCTCTCACCAGAATACTTAGAAATCTTGCCTGGAAAGTCATATTCCCCAGTTCTCCCAACTTAGGGGCAAATGTCCCTCTTTCTTGTGTTAGGGATACCACTGTAATGGCAGGTAGTGGTTATGGGGAGAGTGAATCCCCATAGCTGGGTGAATAGGGAGTAAACCAGGCCAGGTGGAGCCATTCACGTGATGGAAACTCGTGGGGGTGTTTTCTTTTTGATCTCCTCGGTTCTCTACCTGTTTTCATCATGATCCTGCTCACGTGAATAGAGCACAGAGCTTGCTCTACTGTGCTCTCTATGCATCTCATTCAATCCTCACGGTGAGCTACAAAACAGATGCCAATCCCACGTCCATCGTACAAGTGAAGCTCAGGGAAGTAGGGTGACTTGCCCCTGGTCAGATAACCAGCACAAGTTCCCCAAGGAGCCAAATCCATGTGTGTCCAACCACAAAGCCACAACAGGAAGGCATGCTAAGGCTGGGGAGACAGGTTTATGGGAATCTCACAAGTCACACAAGATAATCTGTAAAGCTCCTCTAGCCAACAACACCAACACATTACAGCATGGGGAGCTTTGTTTTTGTTTCCAGGCTGTGAATGTTGGTGGGATGGCTCCTATGCCTAGCATAGACGCGTAACAAAAGGGCAGCTCAAAAAAAGTGCTTAAGAAGTGTTACAAATGGGTGCATCATTCAAGAAAATGGAGAGTCCAAGAAAGTGACCTGTAGATGCCCCACACTCAGGGAATGTGCACAGCAAATATCAGCCCCCTCTCTGCACATACCTGGCCTCTAGCCCCCGTGTCCCCTCCCGGGCTCACTCTTCCTTAATCAGCTCAGCTTCAGTCTCAGTGAGCCTCAAATCACTCCCCAGAGAGACCTCCTGCTCCACCTAGAGGACATCAGTGTCACCACATTCTGAGAAGGTGCAGGGCGGGTGAAGAGGTACAGGAAAAGCTGGCCACTGTCAGGGCAGCAGAGGCACCTCCCCAGGTAGGTGGACCACACAACCTACCCAAGACGTTCATCCCATCCTTGAACTCCAGGCCTTTCTTGATAACCATCTTAGTTTCCTCGGGGACCTCAGTCACAGTCTCGTTCAACAGGGAGATGACCGCGTTGGTTGCATTGGCCTCCTCGTCTGATGGAGGAGCCACCAGCACCTTCTTCGTCACTGTCTGAATCTAATGCAGTGCAAGGGAAAAAGCATCAAGATGAGGTTTGGTCTAACAAGTCAACAAAAGCCCTGCCCTTCATCTATTTGAAGGTTCCCAACAGGTTAAACAATAAATTATGAAATTTGGGAAACAGTTCATATGTTTACGCTTAACAAAATGGTCTTTTTACCAACCACACACAGTGGGATACAACTGTACTAATGACAAGATAATTATAAAACATAAAGGGAAATTGTAAATGGACTACATGCAGCCCAGTCCAGCAGTGGTTGTGAGACTCAGTTAGGTGGTCATTCCTGAGCCCTGAGCCCTGACCCCTGTGCTGGGCCCTGGGTCTGCTCAAGGACAAAAGGACACAGCTCTGGCAGGGATCAGATCAGCAACTAACAATCTACCTGTGTTCCTGCTGCCTGCTCTGTGTTAGACACAGCCACCACAGGCTGACTTTGAGACCCTTTTTTGGCTCTGTTGGCCATCCTCACCAGGGTACCAGCTGTGTCAGCTTCCAGCTGTCACCATGGAAGGAGCATCTGCTGACATTTCAGATCCACATGCAGGATGGGAAGACACCCGCTCCTTCTGTGCAGTGCTGCCAAGCCAAGCCTTGCATGACATTCCCCACGCATTTCAGAGCGGATGACTTCCACGGCACCCCTCATGCTATTCCTCGACATCCATAGCTGGGGCCCTATTTTTAAAGGTGTTGGGCACCCTGCCTGCAGAGTGCTGTGAAAATTCACAACTGAGCCCCTAAAAATATCACCTCTAAAGGCATTAAAATAGAACTTAGGCAGAACCCTAGGCTGTCAGTGCCGGCACGTAGTAGGTAGCAGATGGCAGAACCCTGAATAGATGCGGAAGAAGATGCGAGTCAGGGGACTTGATGGATGTCAGAGCTTCATTGGCAAAGCTGGGACTTCAGCTCAGGGGGTCTGACCCCCGCTGGGCTCTTTCCACCACCTGTGCTGTGTGTTAAACTGCGCGGCTCTGATCCCACTGCAGCTGGGCCCAACTGTAAGCAATGCTGAATGGATCAGTGCGCCAGAATGGAAGAAAAGGGGGTCAGCACTCTCTGAAGTGAAGCAGGTGCCCTCTGTTCTAGCCTGGCCACATGCAACGTGCAGGGAGAGGAAGCCAGCTGTCTCGGGGAAGAACAGGAAGCACACTGGCCCTTCCGTCTGGGCACTGGTATGAAGACAAGATCCAGGCGTGATCTGAATGGAAGCTTCCGTGAACAACAGAATTATGCTCTCTGCAAAGGGAGGTGACCAAAGCTAACTGTCGACCTGTCCTGAGAATTCCAAGAAGCCACAGCTTGGGTTAAATGGAGTAGCGGCCATGGACCTAAACAGATGGACACCACCAGGGTTAGGTGCTGGAGACTGCACATCTACAGCCTCTTACAGCTATGGTAACCCCCTGAGGCTCACCGGGATAAAACCAAACCACAAGCGCACTGCTTGTTGCTGAAGCACGATTCAAAATGAGTCATGTCTGACACCAAAGCCCAGCTTCAACACGGGCCCCACTGGCTTATGTTGAAAGCAAAGAGATAGGAACAAGGATCAGCCCTGCCTGAGAGCTTGATCCACAGCCTGTGTAGGTTGGACCACTGGACAATCTGGGTGCTGACTCCAATCTACCACCACCTCTCATCTTAACACCTGCAGAGGCCTCCTATCTCACCTTCCCGCCTTTCTTCTTAGCTATCTGCAAGATAGAGGTAAGTAGCTTCCTACAGCTCTAGCTGGGACTATAACTGCCAGATTTTTTTTTTTTAATACAACAGTATCATCCTCTTGCCCCAAACCACAGAATGAAAACCCAAGTCTTACCTTGGGCGGTCAGATCCTGCCTGAACTATGTTTTGCCCTCTTCCATCACCATGCATATTCCCCACATGCTGGCTCACATAGGCCTCCCTTCTCTTCTCTGAACCCACGAAACTCTTCCCAGCCCTTGCAAGTCTGTGCCACTGCTTAGAAGGCTCTTTCCTCAGTTCTTCTTAGGCCAGTCCACTCGGACCCCCCATCATCTTCTCAATCATCTCCCCTCGTTCTTAGTTAGCCTTCCATCTCGCCTCTAGCCCTCATTTTTTTGTCTCTTGCATGCTTACCCAGTGTTTGTTTTGGTCTATCTCACACCCCTTGAATGTATGTGTGCTCCATGGGGTAGGAACCTCATCTGCCTCATTGCCCATAGTATCCTTGTAGCAATCAGAGGGCTCGGCAGCCAGTGCTGCTCACAGGTACCAGCCAACCAAATACATGAGGGTACTTGTAAGTTCACAGAATATGCATTTTCTTTTTTTTAAATTTTTTTTTATTTTTGACAGGCAGAGTGGACAGTGAGAGAGAGAGACAGAGAGAAAGGTCTTCCTTTGCCGTTGGTTCACCCTCCAATGGCCGCCTTGGCCAGCGCGCTGCAGCCAGTGCACCGCGCTGATCCGATGGCAGGAGCCAGGTACTTATCCTGGTCTCCCATGGGGTGCAGGGCCCAAGGACTTGGGCCATCCTCCACTGCACTCCCGGGCCACATCAGAGAGCTGGCCTGGAAGAGGGGCAACCGGGACAGAATCGGGCGCCCAGACCGGGACTAGAACCCGGTGTGCCGGCGCCACAAGGTGAAGGATTAGCTTAGTGAGCCGCGGTGCTGGCCAGAATGTGCATTTTCAAGGGAAAAAAACTCTGCATGAGTTTCAGGAACTTTTGCACTCTAGTAACCTTATGCTTTGATACCATTTTCCCACAAAGTTTTTGAAGCATTCTCACACACAGATCACTGAACTCCCTGGAAAAAAACAACCCCCATGGTCTCTATGGCTGGGTTTGATTTTATGTTGTCAGGCCTCACCTTCCAGCCAACTTCTCTTGTGGAAACCTCAGCCTTAGTCCAAAGCCAGCCCTGAACAGTAAGCAGGAGACCTCCATGCTCTCAAAGACACAGGACCTGACTTGGACAAGCCTGGTGCTGCCACTGTTTAAGGCAGCCTCTACCCTGAGGACAGCACACCTTCCCCTTGACATCTCAGTCCAGTCAGGAAGTCCCCTCCACTTAAGAGAAACGATATTAAAATTGATTATTAATATTAATTTAATATTAATATTAAAAGCGATATTAAATGGACACAGAAGAGGCCACTCATGACCCCTTCTGTCTGGCAATGCCATGCCAGGCTATTAGAATAGTTTCCATGCCTCAAGTCCTCTTCAGAGTTTTCCAACCAGGTTTAAGGAATCTGCACACACCATCACCCTGAGATTAATGATCCTATTCTATACCATTGTTCGTCAGGTCTCCCTACCACAGAAGGACCTTGACCTTGGGCTGAATGCAGGAACTAAGGCCAGTGGATGAATTTTGTCCTGAATGGGTGGGATTGGGATGGGAATGGGTAAAAAGGGCTAAGCCCTCTACCCCAGGGTGGCAGATATTGCCCCTTGGCCTGAGCAGCTGTATGCAAAGAGTGGCCATAAAGCCAGAGCATGGCCAGTACCACAGAAACTCCTTCCAAGGCAGGAGCACGTGCCTGCCTGCTTCCTGGTCCTGTCTTCAGACTGAGAGGAAGGGTGGTGTCTCCTTGCAGGGAGCATGCGTTGGCTGCCCACAGGCAGCAGGCCCAAGTCTGTGCTTCCCAGAGGCTCCTCCTACTCTGACTTCTTCTAGCTCAACTCCCAGGAGCTGCAGTCCCAGAGTGAAATTTCCAAAAGCTAAGAACACACTTGGTGCCCAGTTGTGTCCATCACTCCAAAGGAAGTGAAGGCATCCTCATAAGCAGGCTGGCTGCAGGGCAGCATATTACACGAGGGGGACTGTAGGGAGCACCCCTTCTCCAGCCTGTTGTAATTCATCCCCCTAACCCTCTTCCCCCACCTGGGACTCTCTAATATAAGTCTATGCTCCATGTGACACCAGAATGGCATTTCACATTTTTGTTTTATTTTATTGTCAATTTGCATAATAATTATACATATCAATGGGGTATAGTGATGTTTCAGTACATGTCTACGAGGTGTTTTAATTATGTATAATTAGTATATCCTATACCTCACACATTTACCATTTCTTTGTAAAATGGCATTTAATATTTTTCAAATGTATTTGAGAGGCAGAGAGACAGAGAAAGAGACAGAGAAATACAGAGAGATATGTAGAGGGAAAAGGATCTCCCATCTTCTGCTACATTTCCCAAATGTCTGAAACACCTGGGGCTGAGCCAGGCTGAAGCCTGGAACTCAGCACTCACTCTGGGTCTCCCATGTGGGCAGCAGGGACCCAAGCACTTGAGTCATCACCTGCTGCCTCCCGGAATGTGCATTAGCGGGAAGCTGGATTCTTTCTTTAAAATTTATTTATTTATTTAAGAGGTAGAGTTACAGACAGAGAGAGGGAAAGACAGAGAGAAAGGTCTTCCATCTGCTGGTTTACTCCCCAAATGGCCACAATGGCCAGAGCTGGGCCGGTCTGAAACCCAGGAGCCAAGACCTTCTTCCAGGTCTCCAACATAGGGGCCCAAGAACTTGGGTCACCTTCTACTACTTTCCAAGGCCACAGCAGAGAGCTAGTTCAGAAGAGGAGCAGCCAGGACACAAACTGGCACCCATAAGGGAAGCCAGCACCACAGGCAGAGGCTTAACCTACTATCCACAGCACTGGCTCCCTGGAAGCTGGATTCCGAAGTGGAGCTGGGACTAAAACCCAGGCACTCTGATATGGGCATCTCAAATGGTTCTTAACGAATATGTCAAATGACTGCCCTAGTACTTGTAGGTTTTTTTTTTTTTTAAGGCTGGTCACCTCTTTTTAAAGATTTATTTTATTTATTTGAAAGTCAGAGTTACACAAAGAGAGAAGAGGCAGATTGAGGGGGGGGAGGGTCTTCCATCTGATGGTTCACTCTCCAATTGGCCACAACAGCCGGAGCTGCTCCAATCCGAAGCCAGGAACCAGGAGCTTCCTCTGAGTCTCCCATGCGGGTACAGGGGCCCAAGCATGTGGGCCATCCTCCACTGCTTTCCCAGGCCACAGCAGAGAGCTGGATCGGAAGTGGAGCAGCCGGGTCTGAAACAGGCGCCCGTATGGGATGCCGGCACTTCAGGCCAGGACATTCACCCACTGCGCCAGCCTCATACTTGAAGCTTTTAAAAGCACCACATGTGGTTTTGCTATATTGCCAAGATTTGCTTTGTTATAGAGGTAGAGAGAAAGACAAAGAGAGCTCTTATCTGCTGCTTCACACCCCAGGGCCCACAATGGCTGGTGCTGAGGAAAGGCCAAATCAAGAGCTAGGAACTCAATCCAGGTCTCTGACATGAGTGGCAGGGACCCAAACACTTGAGCTGTCACCACTGCTTCCTAGGGTCTGCACTGGTGGGAAGTTGGAGGAAGGGGCCAGAGCTGGGGATCAACTCCAGGCACTCTACTATGGGATGTGGGTGTCTTTTTTAAAAAAAAAAAAAAAAAAAAAAAAAGCTTTTTAATTGATTTGAAAGGCAGAGTGTCAGAGAGGGAGAGCAATAAAGAGAAAGAGATAAAGAGAGATAGAGAAAGAAAGGGGCATCTTTTTTCTTTAAGAAAAGATTTATTTGTTTGAAAGGTAAAGTTACAGAGAGAGGGAGAGACAGAGAGAGAGGTCTTCCATCTGCTGGTTCACTCCCCAAATAGCCACAACAACCAGAGCTGGGCTAGGCCAGAGCCTGGAGCCAGGAGCTTCTTCTAGGTCTCCCACATGGATACAGGGGCCCAAGTACTTGGGTTAGCTTGATTGCTTTCCCAGGTGCATTAGCAGGGAGCTGGATTGGAAGTGGAGCAGCCCAGTTGAACTGATGCCCATATGAGATGCCAGCACCACACGCAGCGGCTTTACCCAATATGCCACAGTGCCAGCCCCGAGAGAGGAATCTTCCATCTGCTGGTTCACTACTCAAATGGCCAGAAGCCTGGAACACCATCCAGGTATCCCTATGTCAGAGGCTGGGGCTGCTTTCCCAGGCACATTAGTAGAGAGTTGGATTTGAAGCAGAGCAGTTGGGACTCAAACTGGCACTCTGATATGGGATTCTGGCATCACAAGTGGCAACTTAACCTGCTGTGCCACAACACTGGCCACAGGATGTAGGTGTCTTAAAAAGTACCTCAGCCTCAGGCCGGTGCAATGGCTCACTAGGCTAATCCTCTGCCTGTGGTGCCTGCACCCCGGGTTCTAGTCCCGGTTGGGGCACCGAATTCTGTCCCCGTTGCTCTTCTTCCAGTCCAGCTCTCTGCTGTGGCCTGGGGAGGCAGTGGAGGATGGCCCAAGTGCTTGGGCCCTGCACCCGCATGGGAGACCAGGAGGAGGCACCTGGTTCCTGGCTTTGGATCGGCACAGCGCCAGCCATAGCAGCCATCTGGGGGGGTGAACCAATGAAAGGAAGACCTTTCTCTCTGTCTCTCTCTCACTGTCTAACTCTGCCTGTCAAAAAAAAAAAAAAAAAGTACCTTAGCCTCTATACCAAATGCCAACCCTGTGCTGCCAACATCGAGAACCAGTGAGTATGCTAGACTGACAAAAATGTGCCTATGGACAACTCAGAGACAGGAGCAAAAGGAAAGGAAGCAATAAATGGATGAGAGAGAGGGAGAGGGAAGGGGAGGCAGGGAGAGAGACAGACAGAGAAAGAGAATCCCAAGCAGAAAATGTATTAAGTTAACTAGGAAACAAAAGCCAAGAGATTCGAATCCCAACATCCTGCCCCAGACTACATTATACAAGCCCTGGGCCAGATATAATTAAATATTAAGAAAATTGTTACCCAGCATGGGTTTGCTGGAACAATGTCTAAATCATTGCTTTAAAGCTTTAGAAGACTGGAAAAGAGACAGCATCAGAACTCGGGGGTACCTGTTGGAAACAGGCTTGGACCAGGTTTTCAGGGAAGAGATTTCGAATAAGGTCTAGGAAGGCATCCAGGCTGGACACTTCATCATTCTTCTTCCCAGGTCCCAGCTGTTTCTTGAGTTTGGGATTGCCGGGGTGGATAGCCAAGACCAGGATAACCCCCAGCACAGCGGCGATGATAGTCGTGGACATGTAGTACACCATGGCTCTTGTGCCTAATCGGCCACTGGCTTTCGCATCCAGGCCTGACAACCCTGGGTTAAAAAGAAATCCACAAGAATTAGTTCTGTTAACACTGTATTAATGATCCCTCACTATATAACCTGCAACCCTTGGCTTCTTGTTACTTAAATGTATTAATGGCTAATTAAACTTCCTACAATTGAACATCTGGTCAGTTGCTTAGTCTATAACTGTAACTGTCCAGGACATTTTTGAGATTATAGAGAACTAGGGAGAGTCAGAGGTCATCCAGTACAGAGTTCGTGAACAGGTAGTGATGATTTTTCTTTATTAGTCTTCAATAGTGTTAAACAGTTAAAATGACATTCAAGATACTATATTTTTATTTCTGAAATTAAATTCTTTTGACTTTATTTGGAAAATTTATTTACTTATTTGAAAGGCAGAGAGAGAGTAAGAGAGAGAGAGAGAGAGAGAGAGATCTTCCATCTGCTGGTTCACTCCCCATATGGCAGGAATGGCCGGGGCTGGGCCAGGCTGAAGCCCAAGATCCTGGAGCTCCATTTAGGTCTCCCTAAATGACAGCAAGGACCCAAGGACTTGCACCATCTTCCAAGGCCTCCCCAGGTACATTAACTGGGAGCTGGCTCAGAAGTGGAGCAGCCAGGACTTGAACTGGTGCTGTGATAAGGGATGCTTGCATTGCAGGCAGCAGCTTGGCTCACTGTGCCACAATGCTGGCCCCTCTTTCACTTTTTTGGTCCTTTCTTTTGTGAAGTGATGGTATGGGGACATGCTAGCTTTTTGTTGATTGTTTTTTCAGGCCCTGACTTAGGAAGATAAAGAGCTGGCAGCTCAGTGTCACACTCTGAATGCCTTTTGAATACATGACTGGTCATAGAGACCCAGCATCTGAGAACAGTGACAGAGCATAGCCCTCCCCTTCATCCCAGGTGAACCATGCCACAGGTTCACATTCTCCAGCCTTGTGTGGGTGACCGAACACGCGTGTAAAGCTGTGTGGAAGGCTCTCTGCCAGTGGCACACACTTCATCTATGCCTTGGGAGGTTGGAGGAAATTCCAAGCCCGTCACGAAAACTCCGGCCTCCACTGGGTTTTTTTCCAGTTGTTTCTCCAATGTGTCCACTTCCTGGTTTCAGTTCCTACTTACACTGGGCAGAGAGACTGAACCTGTTTCTGGATCAGCCCTTTGTGCTGCAGGGTGGAAGCCATCCATGGCATTTCTCTGAATTAAGCTGATTCACATATGAGTAGCTTCTCTTTACAACCTAAGGTCTAATTCTAGCCAACAGAGGCTACGCTTCCACACTGGGTGAGCCAATGCACCAGCTGTTAAACAGGCATAGAGAACATATTGTCTGGCTTGGGTAGGAGCATTTAAAGTAAAAGCACAGTTTCAGTTGATCTAGGGCTGAATGATAAGACCCTGCTTAGCCCCTGAATGCCTGACCCTAAGTCCCAGGGCTTCCAATCACTGCATTCACTGGTCAACTCCAACAAGACTATAGATCCATATGGCTTCATATCTGGGTTTCCCAGAATTACTGGAGCCTCATTTCCTTCAAAAGGTACACAGTCCAGAGGGGCAACTTCTCAAAGTCACTTAGGGCGCTGGCACCCGAATATGGACCACAGCCCAGCTTACCATCCTAACACTTAGGTCTAAACAACCACAATCTCTACCCTGTTTGGGAATATTACTTGGTAAGGAGGAAACTACAAGAAATAAACCCATGAAAATGGAAGTTTTTCTTTCAAAAATAATTATTTCAGTCAAAAATAAGTGCACCTGATTAAATAATTAATTATTTCCACCAAAAATAACTGCATATATTAAGGGGAACTTTGTCCTGAAAAACGCAGAGGGATTTCATATCTAGCCTTGCACTTAAAAATATTTTTTTTTGACAGGCAGAGTGGACAGTGAGAGAGAGACAGAGAGAAAGGTCTTCCTTTCCATAGGTTCACCCCCAAAATGGCCACCACGGCCAGTGCGCTGCGGCCGGCACACTGTGCCGATCCGAAGCCAGAAGCCAGGCACTTCCTCCTGGTTTCCCATGCAGGTGCAGGGCCAAAGCACTTAGGCCATCCTCCACTGCACTCCCAGGCCACAGCAGAGAGTTGGACTGGAAGAGGAGCAACTAGGACAGAATCTGGCGCCCCAACCGGGACTAGAACCTGGGGTCCCGGTGCCGCAGGTGGAGGATTAGCCAAGTGAGCCCCGGCGCCGGCCCACACTTAAAAATATTTAACAACCACCTCCCTCCATGCTGAGCTCAATAGTAAGGGCAGTTTCCATTTATATTATTAACTGTATCCATTTCTGAACAAAATAAAATGTAGAAAATTGAGAAAAATACACATTAAAAAGAAACTCACTAGAGTCATCAAAACTCTTTGCACGTGGCTATATGTCCCCTTTACCTTTTGTTGTTAGGCAGATGAACTTACCAAGATGGTAGGCACTTTTTAAGGACTGATTATTCCCACTTCATTATTTTCAATTAATTTATTTGAAAAGCACAGAGAAAGAGAGTTCCCCCAGTTGCTGATTTACTTTTCAAGTGCCTGAAACAGCCAGGGATGGGCCAGGAGCAGGGAACAGAGTCCTGACTTCCCATATGGGTGGCAGGAACTCATTTAATGGAGCTGTCACTGCTGCCTCCCAAGGTCTGCATTGGTAGGAAGTTGGAGCCAGGAATCCAACCCTGGGGACTCTCATGCAGGTCATGGCTATCTTAACAGCTAGGCTAAACACCTGCTCTGCTTGTCCTCATTTTAGAGAGAGCAAAGCCAAGGCTCTGTAGTGAAATGGCACAATCACATTTGTTCATTCAACCAGATTCCATAGTCAACCCAAAATCCAGAGCAGGAGTATGAGCCACTCTGGCCAAGCACAGGCACGTGGGCTTACCTGTGATTAAGCTGGAGATGATGAGAGGGAGAATGAGCATCTTGAGCATCCGCATGAGGATATCCCCTGGGAAGGCTATCAACATCACCACGTCAGGGTGGATGGGAGAGGCCAGACGCAGCAGCCCTCCACAGACCGCCCCCAGGATGACACCTGCAAAGAGGGGGGAAATTTGAATTTATTTTTTAACCCTAGTCAGATGAAATAGCTCTAGGGACTTCTTTCAGTAGCATTGATGTTTCTTGTGATTCTGCATCACTAGATGATGAGCAACATGTGAACAGAAAATCAGCATGAGACAATTGAAGCTAATTTTGATGAATAGCAAGATAACCTTCTGTAGCTCCAACTACTCTGAAAGGCAGTACCAGAGGAGTCCAGGAGATCCCTCTCGAGCTCTATGGGAAGCGTGCATGACAGAACCCCAACATCCCTGAGAATGTTGTCAACTTGGAGTCAGAAATTGTCGGAAGAAATAACCTACAGTGCCCCATACTGCTTGTCCTTCCAGCCCAATCCTGACCCAGTGGCATGCTGTCAAATGGATGTCTTCTCACTTTAACTGGAGACAAGATAAAAGGAATATTAGTCAGACTAAAGGGGTGCATGTTCCTTTTTAAGCCATCCATTTTCTTTGGCTTCCAGTAATTTCCCCCCAGCTTACCCTCAGGGTTTGTTCTTGATATCTATGGATTTTACCCAATCTTCAGAATGCCAATCAAGAAGAGGCTGTAAAATATATATCATTTGAGAAGGAAGAATTTGAGCAGAGAAACTGACAGGCATCTTTCCCTTTGTAGACTCAAAGATCCCACAAGGAAAGTTCAGATCTCTGCAAACAGGTGGCCAACATCAATGACCCCTGCAGAAACCACAAGTCAGGATATAGCACACCAGTTGGCTCTAAGTGAAAGAGGGTGTTCCTAGGTAGATGGGCTACAGAGTTATCTCCAAGCAAGTGAACAGAGGAATATGGCCAAAGGCCTTGTCATTTTTTTCTTCTATAGGTGAAGACAACATGGTCCAACTTCAAGTCTGATGAGAAATAAGATCTGCTTACAAGGAAGGTAATGATTGGAAAGCCCTACCACGCTTGTGTTTCCTATACTGAACTGAATGGAACTGTGGCAAGCTCCTGTCCTGACCCTGGTTCACTTGTATCTGAGATTATGGGCTCAAAGGAGAAGCCACAGAACAGAGTGTGAATGGGTGGAGAGGATAAGTCCTTCATTGTAGCCTAGAGAGAGCTGAAGAATGAGGAGGGATTGAGAAAGGAAATGGTGTGGCTGACTTACAAGAAACTGTGATTTGCCCCATTTTCAATATGTCCCAGTGGAAAAGCTAAGACTGAGATTGTTTCAACAGTCTACCCAAAAGGCCAACCACACCCCACGTGAGTCCTGAAGTAGGGGAGGAAGATTTGCAAGACGGGGCTGGAACAGATCAAGACATCAGGACAAGTCTTTTCCATATTGAGCTCGTTAGCAAAGTTCATGATGTGTGTGGAGCAGGTCAGATCCTGAGAACCCTGTTAATGGGATTTTATACAACCACTACTCTTTTCTCGATGTAGGGGTATATCAAATTTTGACCCACTGACCACTGCTTTGGAACCACCTAGAAGGTATCCTAAGCTATAGACTCCAAGTTCTCATTCCAGATGGCCCAAAGCTAAGCCTTGTGAGAGTGGCCTGAGAATCTGCATCCTACCACACTCAGGACATTTACATGCAGCCTGAACTCTGAGATCCACTAGAATCCAAAGAACAAACTGCCATAAGCAGGTGAGGAGGAGAGAATATCACAAGGCAGTGATGCCTGGACAAAAGGAGCCTTGGGCAGAGCACGTAGTTCCTTTTCCAGTGGGAGAGTCTGTGGAAGGGACCACCTCCTCAACAGAGCCAGGACAGTCCCAGAGAAGAGGGTGGGGCCGCACAAGGCACCTACCAAACACCGTCAGTGTGAGCAGGAGATTCTTCCCCAGCTTGTCGCACAAGCGCAGACCCAGATTCCGGGGCTTGGGCTCCTCCAAACCGAGGTGGCTGTCGTGCATTCGCACTTCCACCTGCTTGGGCATATTGTTGGCACTAAAATAGAAACAGAGGCAGTGATTAGAGACCCTGGGCACCTTCCCTATACAGTTTCAGTCTTACAACAACAGCAAAATGATGACAGCCTAGGTTGTACCAAAATGAAAATGCCTCCAAGTTCAAGCCCTCTGCATTCTGGACTGGTAAAAGCACAAACTCTACTCATCAAGCATCAAGCTCTAACTCTCTATGGGAATAGATGGCTCATCCAGTGTTGTTTTTTTCCCTTTTTTTTTTTTTTTTTTTTTGACATGCAGAGTTAGACAGTGAGAGAGAAAGAGACAGAGAGAAAGGTCTTCCTTCCATTGTTTCACTCCCCAAATGGCTGCTACGGCCGGCACACTGCGCTGATCCGAAGCCACAAGCCAGGTGCTTCTCCTGGTCTCCTATGCGGGTGCAGGGCCCAAGGACCTGGGCCATCCTCCACTGCCTTCCCGGGCCACAGCAGAGAGCTGAACTGGAACAGGAGCAACTGGGACAGAACCGGCACCCCAACCGGGACTACAACCCAGAGTACCAGCGCCACAGGCAGAGGATTTAGCCTAGTGAGCCACGGCGCCGGCTGGCTTATCCAGTGTTAAAAAAGCATTCAATGGATTGGGGGTCTACAAAGGCAAACTACATTATCAGAACTCTGTTAAACAGCACAACAGCCTACATAACTAAGAATCAAAGTATGGCTCACAGCATTTTGATCACCTTCACCTGTGACATATCCCAGGCCCTGTGCAGATAAACCCAGCCCAATGCAAGCCATCCTGGAGTCTGCCCAGCGGAGCCCTAGCTGGGGTAATGGGTTTCCTGTTCCTTTCCCAGCTCTGCTGTTTCCCAGGCTAATAAGGTGCCACACTGAAGCTTGGAGATTGACATAGGCAGGCCCACATTTTACCCTAACAACTTAGTACATTTCTGTAGCTATCATGTACAATCAGCATCCTTTGATAATAAGGGAAAAAAGCCTTTAACACCTAGAAAGACAAGCCACTGTCTCTGGATAGATAATAGTAGTTTCCAAGGTACAAGGGTGTTATCCTTACCCAGACACACTCATCACTGACAGGAGGAACTTGTGTTGGGAACCAACACTATTCTGTACACCAGTGGTTTGGAATCACTGGTTGTAATGGGAGCAGTGTCAGCTTCAGAGAACCTTGGCTTCTGCTATGGTCTGGAAGTGGTTTGTCCCCCAGAGGTTCAAGGGTTGGAAGCTTGGTCCCCAGTGTGCCGAAGTTAAGAGGTGGTGGGACTTTTAAGAGGTGGGGCCCAGTGGACTATCATCAGGTCACTGAGAGTGCTACACTCAGCAAGGGTTAAGGTAGTTTTCATGGAATCTGGGAATCCTGACAAGTTCTCACAAGAGGGTTGCATAAAAGAGCAGGGCTGGCCCCTCCCTGGGCTCTGGCTCCTGTCTGACCATGGGCTCTCTCCTTGTCACACATGCCCCCACCATGATGCCATCTGCCATGATGTTGTGCAGCCAAGAGGGTGCTCACTAGAGCTGAGCAGATGTTGATGCCGTGCTCTACCTCCAAAACTGCATTAAACAACCTCTCAGCTTCAGCTCCAGGTGTTTTCTTTCTTTCTTTCTTTCTTTCTTTCTTTCTTTCTTTCTTTCTTTCTTTCTTTCTTTCTTTCTTTCTTTCTTTCTTTCTTTTTTAAGATTTATTTATCTGATGGGGATGGCGCTGTGGTGCAGCATGTTAAGGCCTTGGTGTGGAGTGCCAGCATCCCATATGGGTGCTGGTTCTAGTCCTGGCTGCTCCTCTTCCCATCCAGCTCTCTGCTGTGGCCTGGGATAGCAGTGGAAGATGGCCCAAATCCTTGGGCCCCTGCACCCACATGGGAGACCTGGAGGAGGCTCCTGGTTCCTGGCTTCGGATCGGCACAGCTCCGGCCATTACAGCCATCTAGGGAGTGAATCAGCAGATAGAAGACCTCTCTCTGTGTCTCTACCACTCTTTGTAACTCTTTCAAATAAGTAAAATAAATCTTTAAAAAAAAGATTTATTTATCTGAAAGGTAGCATTACAAAAAGCAAGAAGGAAAGAGAAAGAGAGAGAGAGATCCCATCCACTGGTTCACTCCCCAGATGGTTGCAACTGTTGGGGCTGGACCAAGCCAATGCCAGCAGCCAGGAGCCAGGAGCCAGGAGCCAGGAATTTCTTCTGGTCTCCCTCATGGGTACCAGGGTCCAAGCACTCAGGCCATCCTCTGCTGCTTTCCCAGGCACACTATCAGGGAGCTGAATCAGAAGCAGAGCAGCCAGGACTCAAAATGGTGCCCATGTGGGATTGCCAGCTTCACAGGTGGTAACTTTACCCACTACACCACAATGCTGCCCCCTAAGTTTTCTTATGGCAACAAAAAGAAACTAAAACAGCTTCAAATCCTTGCTAGCTGCATAGTGGGTAGAACAAGGGCCTGATCCTTTCCTTATGAAAATTAAACAAAATTATGCTAGCATTTTACATGGCACACAGACAGTTCTGTTATTTAGGAGATACGAAGAAGAGACACAGTACTTGCCAAGTTCATGACAAGGATTATACTTAATGCAGGGGACCTACCTAGTCGTACCACCATTTGAACAAGACACCATAAACATAGCTTCCATTCCCCAAGGTAAGAACCTGGACCCAGATACAACTACTTACTTTTTCATAGCAGGCTGCTAAAATGCACTGGCTCCCACAATGTTTTAAAATTGAGAATATTGTTGAATGACTTAGTAGAATATTTAGGTGAAACTATTAGCCAAAAATACATAGAAACTTCTTAATCTCTGCTTTAATGACCTAAATTTCTACCCATCTCAGTAATGTGTGAGGCAATTGGACTTCCTGACATGTGTATGCGCTAAGGATCATTCAGACCATCTGAAAAAGAAAACAGGGCGTGACTGCTCACAGCCCACGGGAGAGGCCTTTCTGATCACTGAGCAACCAACACCACTTCCTCCCTTTGCCAAATGAAACAGACAGAAAGGTTCTTTTTCTAGCACAGCAGGAAAAAATGATCAGAATGAGCTTATTAACTACGTGTTACATAGTTATTAACTATGTGTGCACTGGGGTCTTTTTCTATTTTCAAACATTTCTCCAACACTGTATGTGCATGTAGTATATGTATGTATATAGATTTTTTCCTCTAAATCATGAAAAGGGCCAAGAAAGCACAGAGATACCATGTGTTCTGCACTGGTGATGTGTTCCCTTAGCCAGCCATCCCCCTGAGGCTATTAATCTTCTTGCTGTCTGCTCCATTTGCCTTTCTCCTGCCATTGAAATGAGAATCAGGCTCCCGGTTGGTATCCAAGTGAGACCAACAAGGATTTAAAGCAAACATTCTGGTAAGTTCCATAAGATGGAATGCAAGCTTCAGGCATCAAAACAGCCACGTCAAAGTGAAAACACACAAAGACTAGGCTAACATATACACCCGCCCTGAGATGTGGCTGGAGGCCTGTTGTACACATTTCTTAGCTTTACAACATCACTGCATGTTTTTAGAACATGACAAAATGTTCCTGAAGCCTCAACTCAAAACAGCCACATCAAAGTGGCAGCATCAAAATGTCATGAATCCACAAGTATTTATTGGGAGAATTTCTGTGACTTGTCCTCTTGGAATTAAGCAGAGACTCCAGTCCCTCAAGACTTCCCGACATATGCACATAGGGAATTAGGGTCTCGGCTTGCAGCTGGGGATGCAGGGAGTCCCCCAAGAACTCTTTGAAAAAATTCTGTAGTAGTCTAGCTAATCACTGCATCTCCCAGAACAGAAGGGGAGCCTGAAATGGAAAATACTGTGAATTAAATATTATACAGAGTACATAGTGAGTACACAGTATCATAGGACAGTATATAGTGTATGGAATAGAGAACTACTTTTAAGCCAATATTCTTTCAAAAGAAGAGGCAACTGCTTAAAATGTGTGCACACTGGCCAGTGTTGTGGTACATCAGGTTAAGATATTTGGGGTTGGCACTGTGGTGCAGTAGGTTAATCCTCCACCTGCAGCGCTGGCATCCCATATGGGCACCGGTTTGATTTCCAGCTGCTCCTCTTCGATCCAGCTCTCTGCTATGTCCTGGGAAAGCAGTAGAAGATGGCCCTAGTGCTTGGATCCCTGCACCTACGTGGGAGACTTGGAAGGAGCTCCTGGTTCCTGGCTTCAGATTGATCCAGCTCTGGCTGTTGCAGAAAGTTGGAGAGTAAACCAGCAGATAGAGGACCTTTCTCTCTCTCTCACTGTCTATAACTCTACCTCTCAAATAAATTTTTTTTTTAAAAAAAAAGATGCTGGCATTCCACCACCTAAGCATCAGTTCTTCAAGTTCTGGCTGTTTCACTTCTTGTCTGGCTTCTTGCTAATGCTCCTGCAAAAGCAATGAAAATGGCCTGAGTCCCTGGGTCCCTGATAGCCATGTGGGAGACGCTGGTGGAGTTCCTGGCTTTGGTCTGGCATAGCCCTGGCCTCTGTGGCCATTTAGGAAATTAACCAGCAAATAGAGGATCTCTCTCTCTCTCTCTCTCTGCCCTTCTCTCTCCAACCCCTGTCACTCTGCCTTTCAATTGTAAATAAATAAAAATTTTTTTAAAAAGTGTGTGCACATGGTTACATAAATGCTGATTACGGAATGCATGTAATAACAGCAGCAATAGTGGAAGTAACTCAATGTTTGTTGAGTACTGTGTGTCAGACACTACTCTCAGTAGTGACTACAGTAAAATCCTTACTGTTAGGGACCCTTTACTAAGGGAGGAAAGAGAATGCACTGTATACTGTATGGTCTGCTGTCCACATGGGCCAGGGGGCAGCTCTGCAGTGGACACTATGGGAAACCCTCAGAGCAGTGCTTGACCCATGTTCAGGGAGAAGGAAGGAACGCCCAAGAAGGGTTCCCAAGAGGCGCTGATCCCTGACTTGGATCTTTACAGTTGGATTTCATTTCACTGTGTACATCCTCCACCTGTCCGAGTCCTGGAAGAGCAGG